TCCTAGGTCCTTGGTTAGGTCTCGAGCTGTTGAGCTACCAACCAGCCCCAAAGGCTGTGAATCTCACCAAAGATTAACTAATAATAATTATAACAACAACAATAATAATAACGGAACTGTAAAAAAACTGCAAAAAATCTTGGAACATCGTACATTTTAAAAAGATATATGGTTGATACCTAGGATGCTGGCAGCAACCCGTATCAACCATCAGTGCCAGTTAATGATATTTGTAATGCATTTTTAAATGTTCAGTTGACTGAATTTTATGTTTAATAAATAAAAGAGATAATATACATGCATATAAAGAGAGGGGAGGAGGGAGAGAGAGGAGAGAGAGGGAGGGAGGGAGAGAGACAGAGGGGAAGGGAAGGGGAGGGGAGAGAGAGAGAGGAAGGATGGGAGGGAAGGCAGAGAGAGATTGAGATTGAGAGAAAGAAAGAGATTTCTGCCAGTAGCTCTGGACAGTTTACCAACTGCTAGACATGACATGTTAGTAAATATCAAAGACATATAACAATTCTCTGTTGTATCAGTTTTTTAGTCTAATACAAGCCACCTCCATAAGCCTTCCTAACTGGAAAATGGAATATTTATCAGTTAAACCACTTCGAGTCACTTCAATAGAGAGGTGAGCAGCATTTAAATTTAATGCATAAAACCCATTACAGTTTGGAAGAGTCTCTGGTCATTTCCATCCCTTGTCATCCCTCACCTGCTTTACTCAAAGCTGCCAAAAAAGATATGATTAAAAAGAGGATATTCCAGGTCTAACGGTGAAGCAAAGCAGCCTGGATCAGGGAAAAGGATCTGAAGCCGCCCGTGGATCTCCCTGCCAAGGAATCTAACACAGAACCGATCCAAAGAAATCCCACCCAGCAGCCTCTCAGCTGGTCCCATTAACCCAACAGCCACGCCTCTTTGCTTTTATACCCATGGGCGGGAAGACCACGCCCGTCCTCCGAGATTCTCCAATCACATCCCGCGGAAGCGCTCGACTCCTCCCTCTCCTTCGACTCCACCCCTAAGGTGAAGATCTGCCGAGAGTGGGGAGGCTCGCCCCATTGGCTTTTCCGCCTCTGTGGCCAATCGTTTTTTTCTCACTCACCCCGCCCTCCGCCATTCACCACTAATCACAGCCCGGGCGCGGCTCTCTTTCTCTTGCGCGCGCCCGGGCTCCCCGGCCAATAGCGAAGGCGGTTGGTCCCGACGTCGGCGCGCGGCGAGATGAGCCAATCGGAAGGCGCGACGCTGAGCGTCTGGCTGCCGGGCGACAGTTGAGCTCGCGTCGTTGTTGTTGTTTTATACACACACCCCCAACGGGCGGCCTGAGGGACCGGCGCCTCTTCCTGGGGATGGTCAGTGGGGTCGCGGCCGGGGGAAGACCTCAGGCGGGTGGGTGAGGGTGTGTGCTTGTGTGTGTGTGTGGAGAAGGCCGCGTCAGTGGCGGCGAAGCCAGCACGAGCTAAGGTAGCCGAAACCGCAGAGGCTGCGCTTAACGGCTGGAATTTGCATCCGTTCCCTATGCAACTGAGCCACCTCTCTTGAATCTCCGAATTCGATCTTGGGCCGATTTTGCAGGATCGGGAGGCAGAAGCGCCTTCCCCGACACTTGGTCCACTTTATCTATCTATCTATCTATCTATCTATCTATCTATCTATCTATCTATCTATCTATCTATCTATCTATNTGGAACAGAGTTCTTTTTAGGTGGGGAGGGGGAGTAGAACTCCTTAGCATCAGAGCATGTTAAATACTGTATAAGAAATACTAATGATCTGATGGTCATTTGGAAAAATCCTTTCTTAGCGAGCTAGAGGCCTAGAAGCCAAGAGGATTCCGTGATGAGTGAGTGGTACATTATTATTATACATTAACAGCCTTGCTCCAATAACCAGCATTTCTCACCACTGGCACTGGTATTTGGGGTACCAGAACATTTGAGGGGAGCACATGTTCCTTCCTCCAAAATAAAGCTGCTACTTCAACAGCAGCAACTGAAGAAAAAAGCTGGTTGCCACACCTCTGGATTTTGATCACACGTCTGCAGGGATGCTGCCATGGTCATAAGTGCAAGGACCAGTCATAGGTCGCTTTTTTTCAGAGCCGTGATAACTTCAAATGGTTATAAGTTAAGAGCCACCTGTGTTAAAATCGGAATATATTCCTTGCTAATTAATCTTAAACTAAGTGGTTATTGTAATTCAGAAGTTACTCTGGAAGAGAAGAGTATTTTGTTTATAGAGCAATGGTAATAAATGCATCCTTTTCTTAGATTTTTCTACCACCGGTCAGTAGGTTGGGATTAAAGTTAAAGCTGCACTTCTATTCCAACTTTCATCAGAGTACCATCAAACTCCACTAGGTGTACGCCTGAATAGGCATTAGCCTGACCCAATAATCATTCTGTAATATCTTGCGAATCTCGTTAGCCATTTAACCTTCACATATCACTTCCCACAGCCACGTTGTCTATTGCTGTTTGACGGAACCGTGCCATGTGTGTGTTCTAATCTTTGAAGCATTTAGGCCTTTTGAATGATTTGAGGAAGACTTGTTGACTGCTTTATCTCCCGTTTCATTTTCTTTAATACCCACACCAGCCGAGATCTATACAAAAATGTCATTGTTGCCATGACGTATTACCATATTAAGGACATCAATAATTTCCAAAGCCAGGCCCTCTCTAGTGATTGAAATTTCCAGGGTGATATCAGTGGCACTTAAAAGATCTGGAGAAGTGACAGATGGTAAAGATTACACTTTAGTAATTTAATTCAGCACCATCAGAACATCAAATAACTCAGCTCTTCTGGCTTGATATAAGCAATCTAGCTAGCGAAACGGCCTGCCCCTGATGGAAATTTACACATAGGGGTAAGAAACTTTCCAAATCCGGGAAAAAAGCTTGTATACATATTACAGACTGGTTCACAAGGACAGGTAGAATAGTCAAAGCTGTTCCATTGAATTCATCAACCACAATTTCATCAAAGCTGTACATCCACAGCTTCTTACCTGGGTGCACAGTACTAATTTCAAATTAACAGAAACAATATTTCAACATCTTACTCAGCACAAAATTATTTATCCACCGTTGATGGGCACAGTTCAATTGGGATTGTAACCATTTCCCCTTTCAAAATCCAGCCACCGAATTAGGATGATAACTCAGTCACTGTGTTAAAACTGTAACAGTTTTAGTTGAGTGAGTTCCCAGATTGACTGTGTTTACATATGTTTAACCTGATTGCTCATCAATTCATTGGGAGGCTATGTTAAATCATACACTTACCCAAAGGGCTGGATCACTCAACATAATCAGGAAGCCAGGAATCCAATTTAACACCCTAAGACTGGAGATCTTATACAACCATACCCTATTCATCTAGGATTTTCTATATTTGGCAAAGCAGATATTCCTCCTGCTTTGTTATTTATCAGATTCCAAATAAAGAAAACTGCATTTTGGTTTTCAAATATACTAAGGCTGGATTCATATGACCTTCTATATTTGGTTAGGGATTAAAATTTGGTGTTGTATCGTAAACCCAGTTTGATTTTTGGAGTTGCTCTTAATTCTGATAATACTGCAAAGTTATGTATGAAATCTTATTACTAAAAAACAAAAGGGGAAAAAAACTGTTCTACACCTGACATTGTAAAACTCCATGGCATAATGACTTCAAGCTTTATTTTTACCCGCCAGTTAAAACAGAAATATATTAGGGTTTTTCACTGTCTATAAATACAACTCATAAAAAGTTCTTATTACAGAATGCTTTATTAACATCACCAGACGGTCTTATGGTGTGATCTATGGTTGATCGATTTGCCTGAAAGTCACTTTAATATGGAGGAAGAAGATTGTTCTTCTCCAGAAAGAATGACAGCCAATAATAAATCATCGCTTCCCATCATCTTAACGTAGCAATGAAGTTGGGGAGCCAACGGATCATAAGAACCTAAATCAGAATACGATCCTATTTTCTTTTGGAAATTGAAAAATGAAAAATTTCTATCAAGCATTCTTGCCCCNGAAGGGAACAGCTAAGGAACAAGGGAGTAAGGCCACAGGTGGACAGTGAATGGCCCCTCCCATAGGGAATAAAAGGAATGAAAGGGGAGAGGTGTTTGCAGCAGACAATTACTTTGCTTAATTGGTTCATGATTTTCCCAAACTCCTTGCCAGGTTTTGAAGATATCAGCCTGGCAGCTCTCCAAGCAAGATAGGGTCTGTGACTGTAAATTCACCCTTGAAAGACTTTCCTGGATGTGAATGACAGGAATTCACAGTAACTTAATAAAAAGTGGCTTTTGTCGTGACAAGGAGTCTGCTTTGTGATTTGGGGGAAACCTAGGTCAGAACAGAATGCAAGAGTGGGAAAAGATGAATAAACTCCAGCCAGTGGACAAAGCTGGTCAGATTGGAACAAATTAGAAACTCTTCGAACCAAGTTTTTGAAGTGGTCTTTGTTTTCATAGTTCTGCTATTACCTCACTTGATTTTTGCTTCTGCTGCAGGAGATGATTGATGAAGCCGATCGGGACGGAGATGGGGAAGTCAATGAACAGGAGTTTCTGCGGATCATGAAGAAAACTAGTTTGTACTGAGATGCTTGGTCCACACCGTGACTTCCATTTGTTGCCTCCTGTTGGCTGAGTTCAGTCTCAACAGATTCCTCTGGGAAAGAGATGAACAACAGCCCAAATCTCATAAACATTGTGAGCTACTTACAGTTCTCTTTCAGCAACATCAGCTGACTCCCAGTCCATCTTTCAGTGTTGCATACTACAGCAGGAAATGTGAGGCCTGGGGGCTTAAATTACAGTTTGAAGAAAGTGGTGTTATTTCTATATAGGGTGCATGTGAGAATGGGATTTCGAATTTACATACCGAGAAAACACCTTTCTCTCTTAAAATATTGTTGTAAACTCTTTATTATTTGAGTTTTTTAGTCAAGGAAAAAACAATTCCAGAAAGTTAATGGTTTTGCTTCAACTCTTGCATTTGATTCATTGCTCTTTGTTCTTGTCTTCTATGAAAGTGGCCTAATTCTGGTTATAAATATTCAGATATAGTGCCTGCCTTACCTAAACATTGATATAAAGATATTGTGCACTTAATATCTCTTTATTCCCTCTCCCCATAAAAAAGCATTGAATGTAAACAGATATAACTTTAATACCAGATTTGATAAGAATGAACTTGTAATAGGTCCCCCCCCCCCCAAAAAAAAATATGGCTTGTGTTGCTGGTTGTGAAAAGTAAAGCTGAAATCAAAACTTTATGTTTGGGTTTTTTATTGTACTGATGACTGTTTTTAATTTTTATTTACATTATTTTCCCACATAAAAATGCTGAAGGGATTTTTTGGCCAAGCAGAAACAAAAATAGGAAGAGGAAATCAAGTCTGTAAAAATTACCTGTCGGGTGAAAGATCAGGACCACGCAACAGATTTATGCACAGGAAGCTTCTCAAACTAACAATGCTTGCTTGTAGTTAGATGAGGGGCAACAGAATTCAACAGTGGGGTTGGACTTAGTTTGCTTGTGTCTACACAGGGATTCTAGGCTGATGCCTCTTAATTCCACACACACCACCGGTTCTGATATCCCTTCTACATTATAACCCCAATCAGCTGCTATTGAAATCAGGAAACAAACCAAAAAAAGCACCACACTGCCANTTGCCTTCATCGGCTTTAAAGCCAAGCTAAACCTAGATTTGGGGACAATGGAAAGGATGCCACCAGGTGATCCCAAAGCGTAGGCTAGATCGGAAAGCCCAAGAAACATTGGCCAGTCATTTCAGTCACGTTGCCAGGAGACAACCACAAAATCACCAGCTCTTGGGAGTCCGTACTTGACCAAGAAAGTAACATCTTGCATATAGAAAATTAGCATTTGGGGAAGGGTGGAGCTGAACCATTTGCTTTCTTTGATTTACTACTTTTCTGATTTGAGGCAGGCTTTGCTCAGCCCTGTTGAATGATGTGAATATATTGTCAAGTAATACAACCAGGGGCATCTGCAGGGTATGGTCAAAGAAAGTCAAGATGATGGCCAAGCTTTTGTAATTAAAGTTCCCTCTTTTTTATGTACCAGTGTTATCAGCTTGATTATTTTGACCACAGATCAAGGACCTCTCTATAGCCCAACTACATCAGCGCTGATAAATATTTTTTTAAAAAATTCCCTACAATAGGATCAGTTTTCCATTTTAAGTTGCAGCCATAATCCTTTAATCCCCCTGAGAATAAACACCAATAAAATTGGTAATAATTTTAAAAGTCAGGAAATATAATATTTCTAAAGTGTCATTTCAATCACAAAGTTAAGGTTTTTAAAGGAATATCTTTAGGAAGAATATATCCTGCACAACTATACCCAGCTGTATATTAATTGGGTGAAGGAAATCAGGATATTCCTAGAGAAAATACATAAATTAACCTATTTAATTTAGGATGTGTTCAAAAAATATTAATTGAAGACTTACACCACATCTGCAGTATGGTGCTTCCCTTCACATTCTGAAAATTGGAGTTTGGGGTTTTTTTTATTTTTAAAAAAAGAGCAATTTAGCTACTAGGACCTCAGAGGCAGAAGTGTTTGAAACTCTTCTTCAAAGTCGGGCCAGGCTCTCTGGAATAGTCAGAAGTGAAACCCTCAAGGGAGCTAAAACTGGGTTATGTCTTTTAATATTCTCTTCTGCCTTTCATCCATGCTCTCAGGCCTCCAGCTATAAGAAGACGTCCCTGGGAGCAGCAGCTCAGAGGAAGAAAACAGCTTCCAAAACCGAGCTCACCGAAGAGCAGAAGCAAGAGATTCGGGAGGCCTTTGATCTCTTTGACACCGATGGGACTGGCAATATTGATGTAAAAGAGTTGAAGGCAAGCTGCAGAATATCACTGAGATGCTTTCGTTACCTGAGAGCTGGCTCCGTTAGTAGGTCTCTCTTCTCAGAGAGATCTGTCATTTTAGTCATAGAATCGTAGGGCTGGAAGGGACCTTGGAGGTCTTCTAGTCCAACCTCAACTCATCCTCTTTTCAATTGTTTTCAGGTCGCCATGAGGGCCCTTGGGTTTGAGCCCAAGAAAGACGAGGTCAAGAAAATGATTCTTGAGATTGATAAGGGAACAGGAAAGATTACCTTCAGTGACTTCCTAGGAGTGATGACCCAGAAAATGGTATGTTATGCTGGCTATTAGAGACAGAATCTGGTTTTATGTGTCAACTCTCGAAGAGGTTGAATGCTGCCTGGGATTTCTCAGGGTCATGTTCCATTTGTCAAAGAGGAAAACCAGGCTTGGTCCTATCGTAACTGCAGATATCAAACCTCAGCTCAGAGAGTGGTAGAACTTGTGAGGCAGATTGGAAAAGAATGGAAATTAAAGCCTTTTCTGGCAATAGCTCTTCAGCAATCTTATTCTGATTGGATGAGAAGGGGTGCATTTGATTGTATGTAAGCAGTAAAAGCCATCTCCGGCGGAATCCTATTTGCTGCCTTCAATTAACTGAGGGCAGAACCTGCTTTAAAATAGCAATAGCACTTAGATTTATATACCGCTCCACACTGCTTTATAGCCCTCTCTGTAGTTTACAAAATCCGCCTATGGCCCCCAACAATCTGGGTCCTCATTTTACCCACCTCCGAAAGGATGGAAAGCTGAGCAACCTTGAGCCCATCAGGATCGAACTGATGGCAGTCGGCAGAATAAGCCTGCAATACTGCATTCTAACCGCTGCGTCACCCCCAATTGTTTTTGTTCCACTTTGTTTAACATGTCTGAAGGCTTGTTCTTTTTTTTTAAAAGGCTGAAAAAGATTCAAAAGAAGAAATTCTGAAAGCTTTTAAGCTCTTCGATGATGATGAAACAGGCAAAATCTCTTTCAAAAACCTTAAACGTGTGGCCAAAGAACTGGGCGAGAATCTCACCGATGAGGAGCTTCAGGTTGAAACTATGTTGGCTTATTTATGTAGCCGTTTTATAAACAGTGACACTTAACTCATTTTAAATAAACTGAAATCTGGTAAATGAACAAGTGGGAATGTATTATAGCCCGCCAGCAGAGCTGGCAGCAGATTTGGACAGTGAGGAGGTTGGGGAGGAACATGGGCCAACCCTGCAGTCTGGGGAAGGCTCTGATGAGGGCTCTGTGTTGGAGGCAGAGAGAGGGCCAGGGCCATCTGACACTTATCAGCTGCCTTTGGAGTCAGACATCAGTGAGGCAGACGAACAGCTGGAGTCTGTTCCCAGTGTGTGCATGCACAGAGTTGCCAGATGAAGGGAACAGCTAAGGAACAGGTGTCGACTTGGGAGTAAGGCCACAGGTGGACGGTGAATGACCCCTCCCATAGAAAATAAAAAGGGAGCAAAAGGGGAGTGGAGTTTGCAGTTAGTTCACTTAATTGGTTCGTGACTCTCCGAGACTCCTTGG